TTATTGGAGGAGCTGGAAGCAGGGCTGGGAACCTCTCAGGTTGCTGCTCAAATCCTTGCTGGAGCTGGGGAGCCTCTCCTGCTGGCCGCAGCCTCTCATAGGGTATCCTGAAGCCCAGTGGGGAGCCTCTCCTGCCAGCCACACGCCACACTGCTGAGGGTCCAGCTGCTGCCTGCAGGTCCCACTCCTTCAGGTGCTTCTGGGGCAACTGCTCCCGCCCTGCTGGCCCAGCTCTTGCCAGCTCTTTGAAGCTCCTTCCTTGTGGTCCCTCGCTGGTCTCCCCTGAGTCAACTGCACTGCCCCTTTTATTCCTCCTCCAGGTGACCCAAGGGGCCAATCAGGGGACATGGAGGGTGAGTGTCTGGGGCCTGACTGGTGAGGAAAGGGAATCCCAAGTCCTCCAATCATCTTTTACCCTTTCAAAACCCCTGGGCTAAATCACTACCAGCTAGCCCATCACATTTGCATATAATATGCATCCCAATTTTCCCCAGCTGGTTTTGGGGGAAAAGATTTAGGTTATATGTGAGAAAATATGGTATTTGTTTGACTATGGTACATTTATGGCCCTAATGGGGCAGCTGTAGGGTGTGGAGGGGGCTCTTACATTTAGGGGCTACACAGCTTATAGAACATATATGTAGAAAATCTGGCCTGCTGAAGGATTTTGTCTGGCCTATGGCAGGTCCCTTGATCCTGCTGCCTCTGGGTACGCAGCAAGACTGGAGTGGCACAGTGGCTGGACTCACTTCCCAGCAGCCCCAATGGTGCCAGCTCCTTCTGGCAGGAGCTGCAATCTGCACCCCACACACCTCTGCCCATGAAACTGCTGCCTGTCAGGGAGTGCCTGCGCGGGGAGTGGATCGTGGGTCTCCCCTGGGTCCCAGTCCCATGCTACCATGATTCCACAATCTCAGCCCAGACACCATCCCAGCCATGCACAGACCAAAGCTACTTAAGGAGTTTTGGTGAGCTGTTGGGGGGGAGGGGATGTTGACCCAGCCCATGGCAGCTCACCAAAACTCTCTAAGTGGCCCTCAGGCCCAAATAATTGCTACCTGCCCTCCCCAATTTAACTGCTTTAATCTGTTAAAGAAAGAATGGAAAGAGCTGAGGGAGGTAAGGGTAAGGACACACTCTTACTTGATTGATTGGACTGACACTCTTACCTGATTAATTGGGCTGGCTCCCCTCGTTGCCTCACTGGGCACAGGACCCACTCATCTTGTCTTAAAGGTGAGAAAGAGGCTTCAGGGTCAAGGTGCAAACCTCAAGCAGCACAGCAACCCCACAGTAGAAGTGACTTCAGGCACCATCCCAGGCCACAGCAGCCCATCTCCCAGCCGCACAGCCCCATTGGGTTGAAGCAGATCAGCAGTCCCAGGTTCCAGGAAAGGGCTGCCGTGCCTCCCCGTTCACAACAACTTTCCCACATCAAAGTCCGCAAGCTCAACCGCATGTGGGGTGCCTGAAAACGTGAGGGGAGGCTGCTCCTACGTGTTGTAACTACAGTGTGTTGGAGCAGACTCAATTAATCAAGTCTTCTGGAGCGTGCTTATTACCGCACTCCAGCCAGCCTCTGTGTCTTGTGTATCGGCATCCCTGCACTTCAGAATGGTGGTGGGGCTCTGACTTAAGAGCTATAGTTAAAGCACCCCACCACCATTTTGAAGCGTAGGGACACTGATACATGAGATGCTGCAGTACTTTAATTCTAGAGGCTCTCGGATCTGCTCTAATTAAAGAGCCCTTCCCTCCCCCCCAGGAGCACATGTAAAAACACCCACAGTCTGCTGGGTAGCTGCCCCCCAAAACACACCCCATCTCGCTCTCCTAAGTGCTCACTCATTCTCTGCGACCCAACTCCCCCCCTCACTGGAAGAACAAGCATGCAGGCCCTGAAAAATTGCAGGCATTTTCTATGCTCTATTTTTATGAAGAATCACTCCTCTTTGAGAGAAAAGGTGCTTAAACTAGTCTTAGTTATGGGCTGGCACACTCAAAGAGAGCATATGAGACCCTTTATCCATCCAGTCTCCCCTGGGAACTTGACTGTTAAAACTAAGCAGATATCATGTCCCTTCTGCTAAAGGAAAATCTACTGTGACAAAGGTCAGAGGTAAAAAAGTTGCATAACCTGCTTGAAAGTGGTTTTTAGTAACTGAGAGCAGGGAGAACTATAATTAATTAACCCAGCAGTGAAGAATTAATCCTGTTAAGCAACCACATTCTTTATACTGCTGAGGGAATCTTAGGTTACCTCTCAAGATGCCTGACCTTGCACCAGCACCCTCAAGCACCCTGCAGTGCTTGGGCAGACTGCCTCCTAAACTGAAGTGTTGTAGGCATGATGCTCAAGGAAATATGAGAGACAAGGTAGGATTTTAGGAATATCTTTTATTGGACCAACTGTATTTCTTCCAACTATAAAGTTGGTCCAATAAAACATATCATCCAAAAATTCCTGTTTCCTCTAAACTGGAAGCAATGTAGTCATGGCCCTACAGGTAGATCAATTAGTTTAAGGGCAGGCTAACTGGCACTGATACCCACCCATTGTGTTATAGACACTGCTTCAGGTTTAAGAGCAGGCCATTTGAAGCAAAGTATGATGCTTGAAGGGGCTGCTGCTGAGCACGGTAACTTCATGATTATAGACACAGCCTTAAAGAGTTTCCCATTCTGCTTTGGCTACTTACATCTCTCAGTGGTTTTATGCAGCTGAATTCCAGCCCTATCCTTGCCATCAGTCATACCTTCAATACCTCCCCTATTTGCTGAGGAGAGGGAAGCATGGAACTGACTTACATTAATGAAAGAGGCATCAAATCCAGTGCTCCATTTTTTTTGTGGTACGAGCCCAGCAGCAAAGGAACCACAGCAAGGGCAAGGTTCTCGTCTGCCACACCGAGTCCTCAAGTTTTTGTTCTTATCTCTATTGCTCTAGATAAGCTGGACAATACCTTGGCTATAATATGTTCCATTGCTTTGCTATCCACACATCTCAAGTTTGCCACACAAACCAGGATTTTTTTTCTCCAGATCAAAAATCTAAAGGATCTTCTGTATTGAAACTTCTTGCATCAAAGATGCAGGAGACTTGATATGGGATATTACACAGCTGCTTCTTCCACAAAGCCTTTCACTGTGCAACAAGTCTTGCCTACAACATCAGACACATGAGGTAGGCAGAGCAATGGTTAAATGCCAAAAGAACAAGCAACTAAAATTGTATGTTTTCTTAAGTGGTTAGGACTCCACAGCACTTTATAGTTTTGATTTGTGTTTATTTCCAAAGTTAAAATGCGTTTTACAGTTTGAAGTTAATACTTTTAGAAAATCATTTAATACTGTCTGATTAGCCCATTTATTCAGTGAAGTTCCCTGAGCTACTTTAGTCCAAATCAGATAACTAATTTTTCCATCAGTTAAACAAAGTTAGACATTTCTATTAAAATATTTAAATGCCCTCAGCTTCCAGAAAGGCCACATTTAAGTATTGTAAATTTAATGCATTTATATTTCATTTAGTTCTTTAGACTCAAAAACATGAGCTTTTTAGGATTAAGCTAAAATCAACCCAAAATGCTTTCTTTACAGAGTATAAATCAGAGTTGAACTTCTTGACATTTCTTTCAAAAGCAAGAGTATGGATGTAACATTTTTACTTGCAAACATAACAGACTTCCAAAATGATTACAGTCAGTAACAGTAACATAGTTAAATATAACATGACTAGCACAGCATTACTTATAATATGTGTCATGCTAGGATAATTTAAACATTCACCTATGGCAAGGAGCAATTATACAGCTCTCTTTATTCCACTTTCTGACATAGGAAAGAACAAATTCCCTTACTTTAAACATTCACCTATGGCAAGGAGCAATTATACAGCTCTCTTTATTCCACTTTCTGACATAGGAAAGAACAACTTCCCTTGACACACTTAACTAATTTATTTTACCTGTCAGTACATTGTCTTTGCTCAACAACATTGAATATTGCAAAAGTTCTCAGCCTTGAATATTTTAAGGTCCTGTGATACATACTATAATTTCTTCAGCCAACTGGATTATTCTGATGCATCTATATATAAAAAACAAACCAAATAAAAGCCCAAAACAACACATGCTTGTTATTCCACTCCCAGCCACCAGTCACTGCAATGAACATAACAATCCAGTAACAACGTTACATTTCTACAGTGGCTGATACTGGGACCTGTATGCATTATTGTCAGTGATATTGCTGAGGATAAACTAATGTTAGTATTATTCTGGACACACTCTTCCCCCTCAAGTCTGATAAAAGGTTAAATTAATCAGTTATAAGAACCTGATTTATCAGTTTATTATGGTGTCAGCTAGGAACGTAAAAAAAACCCTCAATTTAATATCCACACAAAAAAGTAAAGAACTGAAACTCCAAAGCAGTCTACCTACTTCATGCTTTGTTGACTCATTCCTTGGCTACTTCAAATTTCTTCCACTCTCTACCAACCTGTAATAAAGTAGCAAGAGGTCAAACTATTTCAAAAGCTGTTTTGTTTCATTTTCAAGATATTGGAATTTGTGTGTAAATTAAAAACGTATGCTACCCCAGAAGGAAGCATACAGCTATCATCCTCCAACTTGTCCTTCTTCTACTTCACGATTCTACAGATTAGAATGTATATAAAATTATAAAAGTGTTTGACACTGACTCAGATCAATGAGAGATCTCCTATCTCCATGTATTACACCAGGAGGCCTAAATAAGCGTTGCAGGCATTTCTATGGGGACCAGACAACACAAAGTTAGTTTTATGTAGCTCAAGTCTTTTTTGGATCTGGGCCTTCATCCTTTATAGTCTAAAGGGAAAAAAATTAAAGATTTGGGTGCAAAAAGCACTTTGGCAGACAACACATTTTCAAGGAACTTGCACCCTACATGATCCAATTAAAGATAATGGACCTTAGAGAGTGCCAAGGAATGCAACATACAGAACCTTGTATCTGAAGAAATTACAAAGAAAACTTATTTCAGGTACTGCGCTTCAAGAAAGATTATTCACCAGTAAGAGCAAAGAAAGCATCTTCTACTCAAAATGCATCTTCTTTCATTTTATTATTTTGTAGACAGGGTCTCCAACTTGAATTGTTCCAGTCTTATCAACACCAAAATACCACCCAAACAGAGGACTGGATTTGTATAAGTATTGTTCAGATGGACCACACAGACGGTAACTGCAGAGAGAAGAAGAATGTTATCAGCTGTGATAAATTAAAGTATGGTTTCAAGAAGTGAAGTTTCCATCTTATAGTGTTCGATGAAATACAGCAGTTAAACATATATAGGTACTCAGATTCTGTGTATGTTTCAAATTATGAAATAAGGTTCCTTCAGAAGTACCCTATACAATGTTTAATGTTCTTGTTTTGACACAGCTGTACTAGCATCCTTTATTCTAAGTTAGTAAATCACCATTTCTTATACTGTCTAATCTCAACTCTCAGCACGTTCTACCATTTACCAGAATACTCATGTAGAGTCAAACTCCAAAGAAAAACATAGTATGAAAATAGTCTAACCATTACACACAAACAACCCTATAATAAGGGAAGTGGAAGAAAATAAAAGGTATAGAAACATTTGAGGCCCATAATTTCAAAGGATTACAAAGAGTAAAGATTTTGGTTTAAGATTTTTTTTTAATATTAAAGTACAGCATCTGGAAACAGTAGACCACTGACTAAAAAGTTATGTGAATTACAATACAATGTAGGGTGAATACTAAAGTGAGCGAGTTCAGTGAGATTCCTGGTGTGCCTAAAGTATCTCTCTTATATAAGTATTTGCAAGATCTGTTCAAGTACCAATACACTTTCAGTGCATCTGAATGGATGGAGGAAGCTTATTTAGTTTTACAGACAGATCCAACATTTAAATCCTCTGTCCAGCACACCGACATAGGAAAGAAGGTTACTAAGGACCAAATCCAATACACATTCTGCACATATGCTTAACTGAACTATTATGAAGTAAATTATTTGTGGCAGTAACTTTAGACATACACATAGGCAATTACAAGACTGGGGCCTGATGGTATACCAATTTACATCAAGAAAGCATTATTTTATAGGGCCACGTTTACAGAACACTTGATCTCCCATTTTGGTCACCTTCATAGACAAGAGCTAACCTGCTGTTAATGAAACAATTAATGGAATGGAAAAGCTTGCATACAAAAGGAAAGGTATTTATACCTGAAAGCTTGCTAAGAATTTTTCCAGCTATTTGAGGTGGTCTAATAAACAATCTAGTAAAAGATATCAGATTTACCCAAAGAACCTCGGCTGATTATATTCAGACACACATGCAACGTATATGCATTATGCATGAAAAACCCCTAAGCATCTAAGCACACACCATATACAGGTAGATTGCAAAACCTTACTTCTGCCCCTTGTCTATATGTATTATGCAAATACATATATGTATATATTTACATTTATATCTCAAAAAGGACTCAGTCTCATCCAGTACATTCTAGGGATCAAGTTGGAAAGTGGATAGTGAATAAAACAAGAAATTTGCAGGGGAAGTGATGATAGTCTCATTGTTAAGGTGGTTGGATATTAGCAGACTGGGTTTTCCCCCGCCACTGAATTCCTAGTGATATATTTCTCATTTCTGGGTAGAAAACAGGGCAGGCTGGCACTTGTTCAGAGAAGCATAAGCATTCATAGGCTGTAGCCTTCTTCCTTAAATGCTATGAATGGACTTTCAGAGAGGAAGAGGAAAGGATCAAACAGAAAGCAATAAAGTAATTTAAATTTAAATGGCAGGAAAAGGGAAAGGAAATGATGAGGTACTGCTGAGAAGCAAAAGTAAGTTGAAGAAATCAAAGGGGAGGATTTACACAGGTAGCCTAGGTAATGAGATAAGAATCCGTGGTCTCAGTTTATTTTAAACCACACTTAACACAGTGCAGTCTGCAGATGATTTCTTGTTCCGCAATTTTACCTTCAAGTTGGCTTTTAAAGTTTTGTTGTTTAAGAACAGCTGATGTCAGTGATGGAACATCCAGAGAGACTGAAGTGTTCTGCCATGGGCTTTTGTGTGACTGACTTCTTGATCTGTGCTGATGAGCAGGCACTGCTGGCATGTGGGTACATTGCAAGGCCTGGTGCCATGGTGAGAATAGGAGTTAAGTAGTCTGTTGCTGGAATGATGCTGATTGGGGCACTACCTGTAAGCCAGGACAGACTTGCACCCCAAAGCTACCTTGAAATAGTTATTTCTTTCCAAGAGGGAGGGGTTTAAGGTCGTTAATGATGTGTCCAAGGTGTTCAAGCTGGGGACTGTAGGTGACAACAAGGATTCTGTTGCCTTTGTTACAGGGTTGGTATTGTAGCTGGTTGAAGCGGGGTCTGAGTCTGGCTGTATTGATTTGAGTGGCTATAGTTTTGGGATTGCATTGTAAGTATAAGAATCCCTGCTCTAGCTCCTTATGGTGTGCATCCCAGCTGAGGAGATCAGAGCAGATACAGTTGAAATGTAGAACTTTGCTGTGTAGATGATGAATCTAGTGGTGTGCTTAGGATGACAGCTAGTGGCGTGGATGTAGCTGTATCAGTCAGTTAATTTCTAATACAATGTGGTGGTGATGTGACTACTGTAAAGTTTCATAGCGGCGTCCAAGAAATGAAGATTCTGGGTTGAGTAGTCAAAAGTAAGTTTGATAGATAGGTGGAAGTTGTTAAAACCCTGGTGAAATTTATCTAGAGATTCCTTCCCATGACATGATAAAGATGTCATCGATGTACCTTAGGGATACTAGGCATGAGAGGACACCCAAGGAGGAAACAGATTTCAAGGTTTGTCCTAAATATATTGGCATACTAGGGGGGCCATGCATGTGCTCATGGCAGGGTTGTTTACTTGTAGGTACATGGAGTCTCCAAGTCTGAAATAGCTGTGTGCAAGGAAAAAATGGGACAGTAAAATGGAAACAAAAGCAGTGCCAATGTGTGGATTAATGCTTTTTAAGGCTTGTAATCCATTCTCACAGGGGGATGCTGGTGTACAGAGATGAGACATCATGGTAGTTATTACGGTGCTTGCTGCATGCTTGTCAACGCAGCCTAGTTTATTTAGGAAGTTTGCTGGCAGCTCCAGAGGCACATGGGAGTAGGATAGACTAAATGGAGCCAGAAACTCCCTCTGTAATGGTTCCAACACCAGAGACAATGGGCCATCTCGGGTTGTCACACTGGTGGATCTTGAATAACAAGTAAAAAGGTGCCTGGTCTAGGTTCCTGAGAGCCCAGGAAAAAATATCCTTTTCTGTGTTTCTGGAGGTAGCATCTTTAAGAGCTTGCATAGTTCCCTCTGGTATTGTTCTGTAAAACTCAGGGTTGGAATGTTCTCTCTCAGTTTCCTGTGTGTATGCTATTTTGTCCATAATATCAACCAGCTTATATGTTACAACTTCAGGGTGGGCACAAACATGGAAACAATTTATGTACGGGACAGAGTGGGGCTAGAACCCTCAGGTGGAGACGTCCTTCATCTTGTGCTGCACAAAGGTCAAGTCTGTGATAGCTTGATCATTGTGTAGCTCTGGGTCACAGAATTATTCCTTTAAAGGCAGTAGAAAAAAGCCTTGAGATCCCCATACAGCTGTACCTTCTTGAATTGTGTAGCAGGGAAAAAGGAGTGACCACAAGACAGTGCAGACATTCAGCAGGGCTAAGAGTTTTGTTGGACAGGTTGATAACATTGCTGCAGATTGCTGTGGGAGCATTTAAGTTTGGAAAGTTTTGTTTACTTCATCTTCTTTATGAAGGCTTCCAGTCTCAGTCTCCTTGGCCACCTACTCTTATCCCAAGTACTGCCACCCTGCTACTCCCAGCTCCACTTTTTCTCTCCCCCAGCATTAACCTCCATGGCCCAGTTTTTTCCTCCCCCACTCTGAGACATACTCAGCATTGAAAAATTCAGCCCATACTATTCAAATTTAGCAAAGCTATAAGCAACTTAAAATGGGATTTTACAACAGGAAATGTTTGACAATCTTAATAATAGGTGATGCTACCCGTCTGACCCATATTATTCATACTCTTGGGTTGAGGAAGGGGAGAGAAAATGTGGAAGAGGGGGAAGACAGAACCAGGAAGTAGTATAACTGAGTGCAAAGGCATCAGCTCCAAGTACTGCCTATGCGTGGGAGCATGAAAGCAGGTGTGGTTGCTGCTGCTCCAGCAGCAACTGGCCATACTGCCAGCTCTGCCCCATGTATCGTAGCTGCCCCACATGTGGAACTGCCCTGTTATGCCTCTGCATCGAGTCCTCTTTTCAATACAATGCGCCTGTGCAGGACAAGATAGGACTGAGCCAAACGTAGACACCTTTAGGAGTGCACAATGGCATGCAGCATGTATTTCAAAATTTATTTTTTTTAAATGTTACTGGCTTACTGGCAATCATCCATATCTGCCTTGCTAACACAAGCAAAAGATGAGAAGCACTAACATATTTTTACTACCTTTTCAGTGTTTCCAGCGGTTCTTTCCTGTCCATGATCCCAGTTTTTGGATCAATAGTTGTTAAAAGACACCTGAAGAGACACATAATATAATGTTAGACCACAGAAGTTTTTTTTAACATTTTTTTCTTCCAGTATCTTCCTCAACATTTACCTGGGGCAACCCATCGTCCCTTTCATTTCCACACTACCAATGCAGATTTCATCCCAGGAATCCTAAGGGAAACAAGCATTGATTCAATATGTACCAGACATACTGGCACTTAACCATTTTCCAGGACTTGATTCTAAGCATAGTTATTACTATAAAAATAAGCATTATTTTACAGCATCATATTTTCTTACATTCCCTAAATAATAGTGTCACAAATAGGCTATTATTTTTTTATTAAAATACGTTATCAATGCATTTATCCGCCACAAAGCATTTCTATCATATAACATATTGATCTTCTATCTATTAAGACAAAACAATTAAAGCAGATTTGCATCAGTTAGCAGGTCAGTCGGATCCCTAGAAGAGGTTACACTTAAGGCATGATTACCCAGTTAATCAAGTCTTAAATAGTAACTCAGCTAAATGTTCATGCAAGTAATGGCATGATAATATGAGAAATAAGCCACAAAACTATTCCAAAAACTATGTAATAATTTTGTGGTTGATTTCCATTGCACCTTAAATTGATTGTGGGGCAAGGTCCCTACCATGCAGCCTGATGCCAGGTGCATGGTGGGCCTCTGGACCCCAGTGCAGTCCTGAGGTTGGGATCAACAGTCAGCTGATTGTCAGTTCCAGACCCAGGACTTCACTGGAGTCTTGAACCAGCTTTGGTGTGGTCCCAAGGCTGAGACCAACAATCACCTGACTGGCAGTCCCAACCCTGGGACCACAATGGCTCACCAGGCATCTAGTTTTCTACTGCCTGGAATTATGATCCTGGGCTCCCCTGAACTGGCAAGTAATAATGGCATGATTAAGATCTGATCCATGATCCCAAATTAGGCATCCTGCCATGCACATGTGGCATGGCAAGAGGTGTGATTGCTGAGACTGGGGAATAGATCCCATTGCACCATTATGTGAACGTGTGCCAAAGGTCTTGGATGAATTACTAAATTGCTTCACTAAAAGGTAACAGATTGGTCATATAAAGCTTACCAGTGTTACAGAAAGTCAATTTCTACAGAAATATATTTAAGATAATATCAAACAAAAGTAAGTTCATGAAAAACTAAGGTTGATTTTCACTTATTGTTCTCAGAATAGTCATAACTAGTCCCTGATTTGCACATATAAAATAGTATTGGGCCTCAATCCTGTATACTTATCCATAATAGTGTAAGCCATACACAATGGTAAAGTTAAGTGCATGTGTAAGGGGTTGCTAAATTTGGGCCTTATTTTACTACTCTACATTAAATACAAAAATATTAAATTCATTCCAAGACAAAAAATTCCAAAATGCAAGGTCCCTTAATAATATTTCTGGGTGTTTAAATGTTCTTTTCTGGTAGCACAAATTCATTTTGAATATAGTTAGACCTGGGTCAATTATTCATTATGAATAAATTAACTGATAACTCTAGCCATTTTTTAAACTATAAATCAATCCAGCCCCTTGAAATAGTCTGTTGCACAAACTATTTGGTAAATATTTGAGAATAACAACATTAAATTCATGACATCTTCAGGGAAACAAATTCAAATAAATGTTAACAAGCATGCTTTCTGCATCCTTTAACCAGCTCTATATACAGCAAAGTACATCACTGGAGTCATAGAATCATAGAATCATAGAAGCATGGTCGGAAGGGACCATGTAGATCTTCAAGTCCGACCCCCAGCTTGGGCGCGAGAAAAGACTGGACTCAAATGACTCCAGCCAGGTAGGCATCAAGCCTCTTCTTAAAGATCCCCAGGGTAGGAGCCAGCACCACTTCACTTGGAAGTTGGTTCCAGCTCCTAGCCGCCCTAACTGTGAAGTAGTTCTTGCAGATGTCTAATCTAAACCTACTCTCCAATAATTTGTGTCCATTATTCCTTGTCATGCCAGGGGGTGCTAGGGGAAACAGTGTCTCCCCCAAACCCTTCTGGTCCCCCCTAGTGAGTTTATAGGCAGTCGCCACGTCCCCCCTCAGCCTTCTCTTGTGAAGGCTGAACAGGTTTAGGTCCCGCAGTCTCTCATTGTAGGGTCTGCCCTGTTGTCCCTGGATCATGCGGGTGGCCCTCCTCTGGACTCTTTCAATGTTGTCCACATCCCTCCTGAAATGGGGCACACAGAACTGGACTCAGTACTCCAGCTGTGGCCTGACCAGCATCGCATAGAGGGAGAGGATCACCTCCCTGGCTCTACTTGAGATGCACCTGT